ATCGGGTTCCTTCCGTTTCTGCCCGCTCACAGACCAAGGAGTTTATCTTCTCGGAGCTGCTGGCCAACCTGTACTCTTGCGGGGACCAGAACACACTGATGGAGGAATCGGCCGAGCAGGCTCAGCGGCGCGATGAGATGCTGCGCATGTACCACGCACTAAAGGAGGCTCTCAGCATTATCGGCGACATCAACACGACCACCGTCAGCACGCCCATGCCCCCGCCCGTGGACGACTCCTGGCTGCAGGTGCAGAGCGTACCGGCCGGACGCAGGTACCAGGGCCGGCCCCCACGGCCCCAAAGCCCCCCAGCCCGGGGCCCGCGGGAGGAGGGCCGGGACCGGGCAGTGGCGCGCCCGGGTCTCGGGGGCTCCCACCTGGAGCGAGGGGCGGAGCTTAGAAGAGGGCGGGGCCTGTCGCGGGGCGGGGCTTGCCGTGAGCGCTGGCTGCAGGACGGGTGGCGCCGCTGGGGGACCAGGCTTCGGCTCTGATGCTGTCCGCGGTGGGCGGGGCTTGCTGCATGGGCGGGGACAGCCTGGACTGGGGGCGGGGTCCCTGTTGGGGGCGGAGCCGCTCATCTCTGCTCCTCGCTTCTTCTGCCCTTGTCGCCCGGCTGTAGATCGCCCACGTCCAGCCCCACGCCACAGCGCCGAGCCCCCGCCGTGCCCCCAGCCCGGCCCGGGTCGCGGGGCCCTGCTCCTGGGCCTCCGCCTGCTGGATCCGCCCTGGGGGGGGCGCCCCCCGTGCCCTCCAGGCCGGGGGCTTCCCCTGATCCCTTCGGCCCCCCTCCCCAGGTGCCCTCGCGCCCCAACCGCGCCCCACCTGGGGTCCCCAGGTGAGTAGGGGCTGAAAGCGGCGGGAAAGGCCGCCAGGCGGATGTGATTGGGTGGGAGGTGGAGCCGAATTCTAGATCCTTGGCCTAGCAGGGGAAGCGACCCTCTCCATCCCAGGCGCTGGGGTTGGTGGTGCAAGACCAAGGGGACCTGCCGCCACGGGCTGACGGCCCTGCCCTGCAGGGGGCGCTGAGTCCCGGAGGTGGTCTTTTCTGGGGAGGGGGCTCTGGGACTTATACCACCTGCCCCCTCCTTTTCAGCACTTGCATGGCGCTTCCTTCTTTTTTCATTTTCTCTTCATTCTTCCCACACTTTGCATTTCTAACCCTTGCCCTCCATTCTCCTCCATTCCATCCTCCACTCACCCGCCCAGCTCCTGGTGAGTCTACCTCACATCTAGGGCTCTGACCCCCGATCCTTCCTTTGAGCCGTGTGGATTTCTTCAGTTACATTCAGAACTGCCTTGATGCCCCACTTGCCAGCCCTGACTCTTTTAAGCTGCCCCAGGGTGATGTCCAGCCTCTGGCGCACAGGATCAGGCCAGGCTGTGATTGTATGACCAGCAAGGTGTGTGATGTGTGTGTGGGCGTGCACACGGGTGTGAATGTGAGAGTGGCACCCAGGCATGGAGTAGGATAGGAAGCAGCTGGGGAAGGGATCTGAGAATTGTGGACAATCTGGGGGTCTGGAACCAGATGGCGGGTGCGGGGCAGGGACAGGAACTGAAGACTGCCCTACTGCCAGAGATCTCTAGGGAAAAGAAACACACTCCATCCCTTGGCTTTGCCTTCTTGGTCCATGACTGGCTTTCCAGGAAGTTCACTCCAATAGCTGACTGCCCGGTTTCCACTGACCATGGTCTTTGAGAAAGAACACATTATCAGACAGACCAATAGCATCTGCTTGGGATTCTAGATGGCTGAAGGGCAGAGCTGGGGTCTGAACCCACATACCAAACGAGGCATGATAGGCCTGCTCTATGGGACTCTAATGATGAAAGGTAGGGTGAAGGCAGGCGGCATGTCCTGGGACTGGGAGTCCAGAGATGCTGCTGGTCCGTTTCCCTTTAGCAAGTCATCTTCCCTCCTAGGGCGCCAGCTTCCTTTCTCCTGTGTAAGTGCTATGCCACTTTTCCAGGGTGGTAACAGAACGTGACTGGCCGTAGGGTGGGGCAGGCTGTAGATTTGTGGAGACAAAATGCTGCACAAAACCACGGAAGGTTATTGGGCAAAGCAATGACAACTGGGTCCTAGGATGCAAGCCCTTGTTTATCCCTGTCGGCACACCAGGCCTGAGTGTGCAGGGAGCTGGTGCAAAGGCCTTCTGTGTGCAGGCGAGCTTCTGTGTTTTGACAGCTCATGCGTGTGCTTCAGTGTGCCGAGTGGCTGCATGTCCCAGATCCGTGCTGCACGTATTGGCCGGCAATGGTGCAGGGCACTGGGAGGTGGGAGGGGAGATGTATGCGTGTTTGTGGGCATGTGTGTTAGTGTGTGCATGCAGGGCCTTGAGGCCTCACAGCATGTGTGTGCACGCCCAGGCGTGTGCGTGCGTGTGTCCCCCAACCCCACGCCTGGCCCTCCTGTGTGTTTGTGAACTGCCCTGTTGATTTCGTGCTGTCTTTCAGAATCACTATCAGTGACCCCTGAGGAGTATCAGCTACGGTAGGTTATGCTCTCAGCCTGCTGCATGAAGTGTGTCTGCCCCCCTCCCTCCTCGATGCACCAGCTCCATGCTGAGGACAACCTTGGGGCCTCTGAGCCAGGCCCCTCCTCCTCCTGCAGCTCTAGACTCCCTCTTCCTGTCCTCTGCCAGCTGGCTTTCTCTTCCCAGCGAGCCCCGGGACTCAGCGCCACGACTCAAGGCCTTCTTGACTAAATGAGGGCTCTTGGGACAGGTTCCGTGCCCATGTTGGTAGATGTGGTGCTCCCTGGAGCTGTCAGCCACCAGACTCATTGTTGACAGTGTAGGGACTGAAGGCTTAGAGAGGATGTGTGTGACTGGCTTCAGAAGGGGCTAGAGGCCTTAGGACTTCATCTTCATTTCTAGTCTAAATTGTGCTGCCAAGATAGAGATTCCAGCTCCCAACCTGGGAGCATGGGCATATAATATAAATCCATCACAGAGCAAGCACGATAATCAGACATTAGCTGAGCCAGTCCTCTGATTGGTTGATTATTTCAGAAGACTTAAAAAACCTTTGCCGTTCTGTCAGCCCATAACAGCTCACAGGCAAGACAAGGGCAGGTAACCCCCTTTCCCTTCCTCCTTGATATTGCACATCTGCAATTAATGGCCATGTCCTCAGCCCCAGATAGAGTCAGCCCATTAGCTTGGCCTCTCTCGGAGTGACCTGTACCTTTTAGTTAATGACACTGCGGTGTCTAATGACTTGGCAAGTGACCTTGAGTTCTGCCCGGCTGGCCACAGGCTCTCTCTGACCTGTCCTAGCTCTTCTGCAGCCATTGACACTCACCCTTCTGCTTTTCCCCAGCAGGAAGGGCCCAGCCTCACCTACGAGACCTGCAGCCCCCCGACCAGCGGAGGCTCCCCTCTTAGACTTATAAGTCTGTGGCCACAGGCATTGCCTCCCAGCCTCCTCAGGGTCCCCTCCATGGACCTGGGCTTTCTGACCACCTGAGGGGCCTCCAGTGCTCCCTCCAGTCACCCCTTTAGCTTTGCTCTCCTGGTTCAAGCGCTTCTGGCCTCATGGCTATTACATGGGGCTCCCTGAGGCTTGGGGTGGCCCTGGGCCAGTGGGATGGGAGCAAGAGTGACCAGGGAAGAGGGAGGCCCTATGGGCACATTGCCTGGGTGGTGTGTGAGAGGCCGTGTGTGTGGCAAGAGAGGGCCACCCAGCCTCCACGCAGACTACCCGCTAGTCATGGCCCAGCCCCTCCCATCTTCCCTTTCCATTCATCAACTGTCTGCCTCTTTTCCGGGAAGCTTGCTCACATCTACACCTGCCTCACCCCTCGCCTCTGCTGGGGTGGCTGCTCTCGCCTTACCAGCTCTCCTTCCTTCTCTCTCCCGTCTCTCCTTGGCCTTCTCTCCAACTGCCAGCCGATCGGGTCAGGCAAGTCCGTCCCGTCCTGAGAGCCCCAGGCCCCCCTTCGACCTCTAACCAGATCCCTCCTACTCCTCGGAGACCTCCCTTACCAAGCCCGCCTGGACAGCTGTTCTGTGACTTGACAGTGGCTCCCCCAGCCCCAAAGCGTGGCCCCTTCATCTGTGACTTAGTCTGTTGTAGTGGTGAGCTAACACATCCAGATGTGATGTTGGTGAAAACTTGTGCCCCTCTGTGGTATTGCTCCTGCGACATTCTATAAATATCTATAAATATACCTATATATATATACATATATATGGCTGACACAGCCTAGCCTGTAGTATCAGAATCAACCATCATGCTGTCCTTGTGGAGTCTTGTGGTCCAACTACGACCGAACGCTGTCACCCTGACAAGCCCCCTCCAATGTGCCACCTCCAGTGAGCTTCCCTGTCCTCCTGGCCTGTGGACAGCCATCCCCTGGGCCGTCCCCACCCTGCAGCATGGGGATGCTGCACCGGCAGCTGTACGGCTCTGACAGCCACCAGTCTTGCTGTCTCTTGGCTGAGAATAAAACCCATTTCTGGATGATGGGGAATGTGTGTCCCTCTGCTGGTTCGCATTCGCTGGGGTGAGGGGAAGGTGTAAACCCTGGGCACCGAACACAGGGTGAGGAAGAGCCCTTTGCTAGGGTGCTGCAAGGTGAATTTAGCAGGGCCTCATCTTATGAGCTGCTTCCACCATTAGGAGGCTGTGAGCTGAGGGGGCCTGCAGCCTGAAGGAGAACAAAACAAGCCCAATGTATGGACAGGCTAGGGAAAACGGGGACAGAATGGAAAAGGCTTTTCCTGGAAGTCGGCACCCTTAGGTGCTGCACCCTAGCTATAGGTGTTCCACCTACATATAGGTCAGGCTTGGTGTGTAGCCCCATGGCACTCCCTCTGGGATCCCTCAGCTTCAGTAAGCAGTATACAGATGATGGCTGCCCATCAGCCCTGCTAGGCACTTCAGACCTTGGGCTCCACACACACTGCTCTCTGCTGGTAGGACATACTCCCTGCTCAGTGCCAACCTGAGGCTAACCCCAGAGTCCAGTGACAGGAACACCCTAGGCCCAGAAGTATGGCTAAATCCATTTATTTCCCAAGTAAAAAGCAAAATAAAGAGGAGCTGCATCAGCAGGGTGCTACAACCCCATCCATCTCCTGTCCTCTGTCCTCCACTACCAATAAATAAGTTTCCCAGCCCCGAGTGATTATTAGAAGAATCTCCTCCCCACTTGCCAGCTCCAACCTCCACTATGATACAGAAGGTGTCCCTACCCCAGAATATACAAAATGGTACACAGGTACAGTATGTACACCAGGGGAGGGGCAGCCCCTCCCCACCCCAGGAGCCCCCTGCTTGGCGTACAGTTACTCCAATTGTCATAAGGCCTGAGAGAATAGTACCCACTTTCCCTGTCCCAAAGTGCCTCTAAAAAGATGGAAGCCCTCCTAAGTGGGATGCTTTCCGGAGGCAGTTACCCCAACTGCCTGGGGACCCATGGAAATGCTGCCCAGTTCCGCTCCCTAAAGTGCCTCTAAGAAGATGGGAGTTGGTCTGGGGATGTACTGGGCCCTGGGTTCCACCCCAGCGTTCCCACAAGAGAAAAAGGTAGGTAGTGCTGAGGAGTAAATCAACTGGCAGAGTGCCTGCTCAGCACTGCAAAATACCAGGCACAATGCTGAGGCAGGAGAGTCACAAGGTCAATGTGTGGTGAGTTCAGGGTTAGCCTGGGATGAGACACTATCTAAAGAAACAAAGAAAGGCATGGAGAGGAGGAGGAGGGTGGAAGGAAATGAAAGATGGTAAGAAAAAGGAGCTCTCTTGCTGATGGCTAGATGGCATCTACCAGCCTGTGCTGCACATGGCCATGAAAATGCTGCAAATTGCTCTGCCGTGTCTTGAGTAAGGAATGAGGCCTTCCAATTAAAGACAGCTTGATCAGGAAGCCACCAGGCTACCCAGAGACAGTCTGCTCAATCACTGAGTTTAGAAAGTAAAATTGCCCTGGCCAAGAGGGCACAGGGCCTGTCCCTGTTTGTATACCACATTAACATAGGGAGTCCGACTTTAGTTTTTTTTTCAGACAGGGTCTCAGTGTAGCCCAGTGCAGCCTCACACCTACAGGGTAGATGAAGGTGGCTGATTCTTCTGCCTGCTCTTTCCAAGCGGTCCAATTCTAAGCACCCCCAGTTGAGAGGCACTGGGGGTGGGACCCAGAGCTGTGTGCATGACAGACAAGCGCTCTACCAACTGAGCTACTTCCTCAGCCCCTTGAGGGGGTGCCGTCTGACCTTATTATTATAAGGATAAGGGTGACTGAGGAGGGGTGGGTTAGGGCAGAACCTTTGGCTGCCAGTCTTTTAGACAACCATGATTTTCACTTCGTCATTCTCATCAGCACGGTAGAAAAAGGGGATGCAAGGGTTGCTGCCCAGGCCTGGACGCTCCTGGGGGTTCTGGATCTCACGCAGTAGCTGCATGATCTGCTGTGCAGTGGGGTTCTCAGGGGGAGCAGGTACCCCAGCCATTCCTTGTGCAGGCTCTATACTGTCGGCCAGGCTCACCTCCCTAAGGTCTTTAGAGAAAGGGGAGGTGTCAGGGTTCTGCATGCCGTGGGAGTCCTTCCCTTTGTGCCTGCCCAAGTCAAAGGCTCTACTCACCACCGTGTTGGTCAGCAGCTCCAAATCCCTGGGAGCCTGTGGGCACTGGGGTAGGCACATCGACAGGGTTCTGAGAGACTGCCAGGAATTTGCCCTGCCATTCATTGCGCTCACTCACAAGCCTCAACACCAGCTCCTGCAGCTCTAGCAGCTTTACCTGGAGAGAAAGGCAATCGAATTGAGAAGCCTAGCCTAGCGTAGCTGGGCCTAGACCACAGAAGTATGGGCTTACCTTCATCTCCTCCTTGTCCTGGGCTAGCCTGCTGATGTACTCCTCCTTCTCCAAGTGCCTGGCCTTCAGCACTGCCCTCTGGTTTTGGTAGAGGGCAATGTACTCTCCTGTGGGTATGGGAGGCAGGTGGGCAAGGCTCAGACATTGAGGCTCCCCCAATCTGCCCCTGTGCACCCCAAATGCCTTAGGTTGGGCTCTGCCTCACCAATGGTGTCTGTCTCTCCAGAGAGCTGGATACAGCAATGTTCGAGTTCTTCTACCCTCTCCTTGAGCTCCACTTTCTCCTGCATGACCTCCAAGAAGCGGCTCTGGAGCCAAGACATAGGTCTCAGAGGCTTAGGAGCCCTGACTGGCCCCACCCTCCCAGCCCCCAAAGACATACTCACCTGCAGCTTCTCCATGGCTACATGCAGGGCCTGGTTGCTCTCCTCAGACATAGAGTCACTCACATTCCTGGGGACCAGTGCTTCCTTTTCCATCTTGCTTTGGACTGGGGTGGCTAAATGAGCCAAGCTTCGGCAACGTGCCTTCTGCTCTCTCAACTGCACACGTAGTCGGGCCTGTTCTTCCTCAGCACTGGCTATAGCTGTGTTAAAGAAAGCCACCTGCACACAAGAAGGAGGTGTGCTTCTTAGGGAGATGTTCAGGACAAAGGGGGCAGGGAGGCAGGGAGGGAGCACTTATTCCCAGACAAGACTGTCTGACCACTGGCTCCCAGGCACAATGTGGTAAGAAACGAGAAGGCAAGAACTCAAGGGACCACAGAGGCAGGAAGAGAAGGGGCAGGGCAGAACCCAGCTCACCATGGCCTCTTTACTGTCCAGGTCTTCTGGGATGGTGAGACTAGGCCGAGGAGCCTCCTCCTGCTCCTCCTGCTCTGCATCTCCTGGGGGCAGACAGGGGGTTGTCTCCTCTAACAGTCCCAACAGGCAGAGTGGGGTTAGGGAAGACAGTTCAGGACCCCACCTCTATACCCCAGCCACTGACTACAGCATGCAAGGCATTCTCACAGCTTCTCCAAAGATATCAACTCTGTTTTGTTACCAGTCAGTCAGGGTCTCCCCTCTCCTGTGTGGTCTTACCTTCCCCAGGGAGAGCCAAGAGGCTCAGCTGGGCCTGGAGCTGCTGGTTCTCCTGGCTGCTGGCTTCCAGGCGCTCCTAAGGGGCCAGGAAAGAGTGAGAAGGTACAGAGGTGGCCAGGTCCTCCCACTGGGGCCCAGCCTCAGCAACGGCCTCACCTGGGTCTTTTGCAATTCCTGACGGGCCATTTCAGCTGCCATCTTGCTCTGCACCTCCTCATGCTGCAACTGGTCCATGAGCTGTGTCTGCAGCAAAAGCTGCTTGTGCACTGCCTCCTTCTCAGAGGTCAGCTGCTCATAGGCAGCCAAGTGTTGTTGGTAGGCAGCTGCATACTGCTGCAGGTGGGACAGGCACTGGTCTCGCTGCTCCTGCAGACTCTGTGCTTCCTGGCTCTTCAGCTCCACCTGCAGGAAGGCTAGGCCTGAGGGATCCTGGGCCCATGCCTTTGCACCCAGCCTCACACCCAATCGCCTTTCTCACCTCTTTAGGCCCCAAGTATGGAAGAGCTGATGGAACCAACCTATGTTGTTCAGCACAGACCACTAGTGCTCAACAGTCTATGCACATTTTCTCATTTAACATTCAACACTTCTATGAGGAAACTCATCTTTTAAACTCAATAATCAGGTCTGGTGATAGGAAACATTTGAACAAATGGATATGAATCCAGCCTGACCCCAGAGCTTTGTATAACCTCTAACTATAAAGACTCAGCTTCTGGTCTTGGGTAGATGAAGAGCAAGCAGTCCAGGGCTACCCATCTCTAACACAACAGTCACAGGCTGACTTGTAAGCCTGTCCCCAGGCTGCAGCTGATCCCCTCCCCAAATCCAGTGGCTGGCACCACACACAGTAGGTCTTACCGTCTCCTTCAGGTCTCCCAGCCTCTCCTGCAGCTCCCCCAGCTTCTTGGCCAGCTCTTTTTTGACGTGCTGCTCTGACTGCAGTGCATTGGTAATCTCCATGTTCTCGTTGGTCTGAACAGAAAGCAGCAGTCAGCAGGACCTAAAGGGGCCAGAACGCCCAGACCTGCGTATGCACCTCCTCCCATAGAGCAAGGAAGGCTTCCGGATCATCCCCGCACGCCCCAGAGCTCTGGCTTGCTGGGTGCCCTCACCACTACCATTTCGTGTGAGGTGGACAGCACCCCATCCCTTGAGAAAGGAGGGCCTGCAGGCTCCGCACCAGTCTGACGAAGCCGTTCTGCAGCTCAGCCAACTGTTCCTTTAGCTCGCGGTTCTGTGACAGTGCTCTGCTGATGGTGGTGCGGTCGCTCTGCATACTCTCCAGGATCTGCTTGCGCTCCTCCGTCTGCTCACTCCAGCGCTCTGCCGCCCGCTCCAGCTCCAGCAGCCGCTCCTCCTGCTCCCGGTTCAGGTGGCTCAGGCTCTCATTGTCCTGCACCTGGGCCCTCAGCTGTCCTGTCAGATTCTCCAGTTCCTTCTGCAGTTGCTCAACTTCTCCCTGCAGCCGCTGTTCCACCTCAGAGGGTCCAGCTGGAGGCTGTGGGGGTGGTGGCTCCTCTAAGAAAGGAAGCAGGCAAAGTGAGGGATCCACCCTTGGCTTCTCAGATAGGCTCCATTGTGAGTTCGAGTCAGGCTCCCTGCCCCAAGCCTTGGCTTCTTTTCCGTCAGGGTCTGAGAGGACGTAAGCATTTCAAACCAGTCTAGTACAGTGATGCTCAGTCACCTGCAGGGGGTAGGCATGGCACCCTGCTTTGCAGAGAGGGACACATGCTCAAGAGGGATGACAAGACTTGCCACCTCCCAGCGGAGACCCCTTGCCCTCTGCTACAATGCCCTTGCACCCCTGCCTCCCCAAGGCAATGGAAGCCACCTTTATGGCTTTTGAACCCGTTCCTGCTCTCAAGTCCCTGTGCCCTACTCACCCATCTGACTCCTGAGCTCGGCCAAGCTGGTCTCCAGCTCTTGTACCTGAGTCTCTCTGTGCTCCTTCTCCTCCTTCAGTGTGTGCACCTGCCCACAGGCACAGGGAAAGAGCTGCAGATCCCGGGCACCATCCATTCCCAGCCCACCTCCATGATACTGAAGGCCTAACCCTCAGCTGCACCTCACTGGCGCTCAGCAAGAGCAGACCCCAGCGCGAGGCCTCACCTGCTCTGCCATTTGCTGCACCCTCTGCTGCCACATGGCACTCTCCCCTTTCAGGGTTTCTGCATACTGGTCTCTCTCCACCTGGAGCTGTTTCAGCGACTCCATCAGCTGCAACAGTCAACACACAAGTTACAGAGGGCTATTGCTGCTTCTCACTGGCCCTTGGCCACCTGGGGTCACGCCCTCCTCTCCCCCACACATCCTCACCTGGCCCACATGGGTCTCCAGCTGAGCCCGCTCCTCCATGGCATGTTGTAACTGCTGGTTACTATCAGAGGCCTCAGACTGGCTTGAGAACTGTACAAGGAAAACGAGGGTTCCACTGCAGTGCCTCCCACAAGAGTGTGAGCTAGCTAGTGGGTAACTCATATGCCGTGTAAGAAAAGTGCCAGGAGGCGGTAAATAGCCTCTTGCTGCGTGTGTCGTTTAAATGAAGCAGAATGATGGCTTTTCCGCTGGGCGTGGGGCCTCCTGCCCACAACCTCAGTGCTTAGAAGGCTAAGGTAGAAAGATTACCATGAGTTCAAGGCTAGCCTGGTTGCCTAGTGAGTTACAGGTCACTGATAAAACTCTGTCTCAACAACATCAATCAATAAAGTAACAAAAAGGTGGTTTCTTAACCAGGACATATCAAAAAATAAAACTAACAGCCATCTCACAACCATTAAGTTTATGACTCCATAGGTGTGGTCAGGGCTCCACTACTGAACATTTTTCCAAAAAATTCTACAGCAAGACCAGGAGGAGGCTTCAAACTGTCATCCCCAAGGCTGCTGAGACTGCCTGGGCCTTAGGGTATGGGCTGCCCCTCACCTGCTGCAGCAGCAGCTCCGACATTTCCAGCTTCTTCTGCAGCTCCTCCACCCCTGACTGTGCAGCTGCTTTCTCTGCCACTAAGACTCGAAGTTTCTCTTCCAGCTCTGAGTTCTGCTGCCTCAGGTCCTCATTGTTTTTACTATGGCCAGAGGCAGTGCAGACAAGAAGAAACCAAGAACAGAAAGGACCACATGTTAGAGCATCTTATGAGTGACAGACCACACCATGAGTCAGGAGCATGGCTGGGACTAGCGCATAACTCTCCACACAAGGTCAAGCCTGTCTCCTCGGAGCCTCCTTTCCCCACACTAAGGCTGCAGGGAAGCCCAACCTCCTTCCCATTCTTACTTGTTCTTGTACAGCTCCAGCTTGAGGGCATCTCGCTCTTTGGTTAGGTCCTTGTTGTACTGCAGATAAGAGAGCTGAGTCTGGACCTGGCAGGCTAAAGAGACAGCTGGCACAACACCAGCCTCCCCAGTGTCTCCACAGTGACATTTCCTCTTCCCAACCACACTTGACGCTTTCCCAAGGCATTTCTAAGCCTGTGTCTTATTTATGTTTCTGTTTGGGTTTTCTAGACAGGGTTTCTCTGTGTAACACTGGCTGTCCTGGAGCTCACTCTGTAGTCCAGACCGGCTTCAAACCCACGAGATCTGCCTGAGTCTGCCTCCAGAGTGCACTATGACTGCCTGACTTTGTTGGGTTTTTGGGTTTTGTTTGTTTGTTTGTTTTTTGGAGACAGGGTTTCTCTATGGCTTCAGAGGCTGTCCTGGAACTCGCTCTGTAGACTAGGCTGGTCTCGAACTCACAGAGATCCACCTGCCTCTGCCTCCCGAGTGCTGGGATTAAAGGCATGTGCCGCCACCACCCGGTGTTTCTTTGTTTTTGTTTTTTTTTAATATTTTAAAATTTTTGTTTATTATATGTGTATTGTTGTTTTGCCTACATGTATGTCTAATCACCGTAAGCAAGAATTACAGATAGTAGCCGGGCGTTGGTGGCGCATGCCTTTAATCCCAGCACTGGGGAGGCAGAGGCAGGCGGATCTCTGTGAGTTCGAGGCCAGCCTGGTCTACAGAGCGAGTTCCAGGACAGCCTCCAAAGCCACAGAGAAACCCTGTCTCGAAAAACCAAAAAAGAATTACAGATAGTTGTGAGCCACCATGTGGGCAACTGGGAATCAAACCTGGGTCCTCTGGAAGAGCAGCCTGTGCTCTGAACTGTTAAGCCAACCCCGTTTTTGTCTTTAATTAATAATATTTTTTTTGCAAAGCCAGGGATCAAACTCAAGTTCTTGTATAGGCCAGTCAATTACTTTATCATTGACCAATAACACCCTAGCTCTCTTTTATTTTTTCTCTTGAAGCAAGGTCTAAGCAACTAGGCAAGCCTAGAGCCTACACTATAGCCCAAGCTGGCCTTGAACCCTCCTGTCTCAGCCTCCCCGTGCTGAGATCACAGGTATGTGTCACCTTCCCAGCAATTAGTTTTGGTTTTATGAGACAGAGTCTAAGGCAGATGGGGTTGGCTTTTCTCTTCCAAGTGCTAGAATTGCAGGCATGTCTCACTCCATCTGGCTCACTCTTTTTAAAAATATATATAATACATTTTTTTATTTTTTGAGACAGGGTCTCTCTCTCTATATATATATAGCCTTGGTTGTTGTGGAACTCACTACGTAGACCAGGCTGGGCTCAACATGCAGACATCCACCTGCCTCTGCCTCCAGAGTACTGGGATTAAAGATGTGTGTGCCACCATAACTTTTTTTAATGGGGGGGGTAGGGGGAGTGGGAGTCTCAAGACAGGGTTTCTCTGTGTAGCCCTGGCTGTCCTGGAGCTCTCTCTGTAGACCAGGCTGGCCTAGAATTCATAGAGATCGGCCTAACTCTGCCTCCAGAGTGCTGGGAATAAAGGCCTGTGGCACCACTGCTCAGCTCCTTTTGTTTTGCTTTGTTTAATAAGTGGTGGGACAATCCTTTAATTCCAGCATTTGGGAGGCAGAGGCAGGCAGATCTCTCTGAGTTCCAGGCTATCCAGGACTACAAAACAGAAAACAAAAAACAACCACAAAAAAGAAAAAAACTCAGTAAAAGTGGATCCAAGTGCTCTCTGCTGGCACCAGCTATGCTTGTGGTACATATACATAAAGGTAAGCAACACACACACAGAGTAAACACACACACACACACACACACACACACACACACACACACACACACACACACACACACACACAGAGTAAATAAATCAGGGGTTGGAGAGATGGCTCAGAGGTTAAGAGCTCTGGTCCTGAGTTCAATTCCCATCAACAACATGGTGGCTCACAACCATCTATGAGATCTGGTGCCCTCTTCTGGTAAGCAGGCAGAATGCTGTATACATAATTTATTTTAAGTAAATAAACCTTAAAAACATAAATAAAAGAACTGTACCAGGTGGTGGTGGGGTGGTGGTGATGCACACCTTTAATCCAAGCACTCAGGAGGCAGAGGCAGGAGGATCTCGGAGAGAGTTCCAGGAAAGCCAGGGTTACACAGAGAAACCTATCTTGAAAAACAAAAACAAACAAACTCCATAAGGATGAAGCAGGCAGATAAAAAGACTGGGACCAAGACATGGTGGTTTAGGCTGATCTTAGCACATGGAGGCTGTGGCATTTACAGCAGCAGGCTAGCATTGGGCCACAACTCTCAGACACTATTGGTGTCAATATTGTTCACAGAACACTTTACTGCTAACCTATCCAATCTTCACACCCACTGACAACAGTTGCTGTCACCCCCACTGGGAAGAAACACGGTGTACAAAAGTGCTGGCTTGAAGTCACTTAGCAGAGGCAGAACTTGAGCATTTTGGAGGTGTCTAAATCTCTAGGCCCTTTCCCCCAAGGGTTGCAATTAAGAGGAAGAAAGTCAACTTCTATTTGGATCTTGTGCTCTCTTCTGAACAGATGGTCTATTCACGCAATCCAAAACGTAGAGGGTACAGAAGCAAAACGCCTCCCAATCGTCATCCTGTTGCCAGCTCCGAGTTTCCGTCATCTCAAACATATTCTACATGTATCGCACACACACTACCCTCCCCACAGTGGCACGGTACTAAGCTCTTCTGTACTTCCATAGCCCGGGGCCACATGCTCTCTCTTAGCACTTGACCAAGGTCACAGCAGACCCCTGCCTGCCTCTACGTTTTTCATCCAGAGTTCACTTGTACAGCCCTCAGTTACCCAGCTGTGAACTTTTCTCTAGTTTGCTTCTTTCAACCATACAGCAAAAGCAGCAACAAACAGCTCATGCTAAGCTGTCAGCAGCAAGGCACTGGAGCATGCAGAAAAGCCCTTTAAGCTCACTGCCCACCAGGAAGCTGCTGATGGCCAGACAGGCGACTTGTCTTACCTTGTCTACCTGTTTCTGCTGCGTTGACACAGTAGACAGCGTCCGCTCCAGCTCTCCCACACGCTGTCGGGAAGACTGCAGGCGGCTGGCAAGATCCTCTGACTCTCCTGAAATGAGAGCAGTCTACATGGAACCCAGGGACCCTCCCTCAGGCCTGCCAAGGCATCAGCAAGAGGCTGAAGGGTGCCCTGATCCTACCTGCTTTCTGCCTGGCTGCTTGCTGAGTGTGGGCAAGGGCTGTCTGTAATTCTGCCTTCTCAGACACCAGGATGCCTATGGTCTGAATGTGAACCTTTGGGAGAAAAGCCCCCAAAAGTGCTGAGACAAAGGAGAGACATGCTCTCTGGGGGACATAGGGATGTCACACAGGCCACTCACCTGCAGTTGTTCCCTGAGAGCTCCCTGCTCCTTTGCCAGCTTCTGCTGATAATCCCTCTTCTCCTGCAGGCATGGGAAATGCAGTTCTTATCAGGGAAGCAGAATCCCAGCAATGGACGAGTCCCCAGAAAGCCACCAGTGGCCCAGGACAGGTTATCAAGGATCCTATGGAGGATACCCTGTGGGGTGAGTCTACTCCAGGATAGAAATGAGCAAGACCAAGACCTGCAACTCTGAGGCCTCCCCCAACCCCATCAGTCATGAGAAGAGAAAACACAGAAACCACAGTACTTTTTCCAGTTGATCCAGAGTGTCTTGGTTCTGTTGTTTCTGTGGGAAGAGTCAAAGGAAGGTGACTGGGGCTAGCCCCTTTTATGCTACCCATACCAAGACAGAGCAGGGGGATGGATTTGAAAAAGGTGCTCAGACTCCCATGGGCATATGATCCAACAAACTCCTCAAGCTCCCCACGAACTACAGTCTATGTCTTGGCTGCCTCTCATTCATAACTATGCAACAGAGGTCTGAATCTGGGTCCAAGTTAAAGGACTGTAACTCTAAAAACGAGTTTGAGAAAGAAAACTACCTTCTGCCAACTTGGGACTTGGAACAGTGTGCTGAGTTAAGAACTGACCCTATCTTGCACAGCCAAGAGAAGAATGGAGAGCACTTGGTTCTGACAATTCAGTTAGTCTTTAATCTCTTGCCACTTAAGAGTGGAAAGAGGTCTCTGACACTCTCCAACTGTGCCTCAACAGGAAACTCTAATCCAGGGAGTGTTGTGACCAAAATCAAAGGGCAAATCCGGACCTAAGCCAGGGCAGGACATGGGGCTCCTGACAACCAATCGGAAGGCACCACGCTCAGGACAAGTGGGGTGCGGACTCAGGTTGGGAGTCTGGAGTACAGAAAAGGGGTGGAGAGCAATGAGAAGAAGCATGCTGCATGTTCTACGCTCTGGCTGCCTCCAGCTGAGACTGAGGCCCCCAGGTTTCCCATTGCCCCTTGGTCCCAGGAGCCCCCAGTCTCTCTCTTCAGAGCCCCAAGGGGAAACTGAAGCCCAGGACTGGCAGCAAGAATCGGGGACCCCACTGGACTCTTACCAATTCCTCTATCGTGCTACTGAGTTGTTTGTTTGTTACATAGCTGGAGTCCAGGGCTACTGCTAGCTCTTGGTACCGGCTCTGAGGCGCATGCAGAGAGGAGGAGTTGGAGGAGGGATGGGGGAAAGGTAGAGAGAGCATCATTAGGGTTGGGGTGATGGGCTGTCTCAGCTGGCAGCAGGCACTCAGGTCCCACTGTAAGAGGAGATAGGTGGTTGGATTAAAGGGTCACTGAACCATGTTCCAAAGCCACTTACCTCCAGTTCCTTCATGTTAGAAGATGTGAGGCCCTCCCCGTTGATGTAGGATGTAGACTAGGAGAGACAATATCTCACATGGAGATGCTCTGTCGCGCTCAATGTCTAATCCCCCAGCCTCCTTCCTTCCCCCTCAACCAGTAGGACCCGCTTTCCTGTCTACTTGGCATCTCCTCTCACGTCTTTGTGCCATTCCTCCTGCTCTAATCTCACCACGGCCCAGCTCTGCCCCTCAACAGCTGTCATCTCGCACTTTCCACTCCAGGACCACGTCACCCATCGTGGTCCAAATCTGTCTTCTCTGAGACTGACAGGACCCTCTCGTGCGCCAGTCTCCTGAGAATCCCGGTCTCAGCTTTTACCATGTTTTCTTCCCCTCTCCCATCTTTCTGGACCCCAGTCCTGCGGTACCTCAGACACAAGACCATTGAGTTGTTGAGAAAGTTGTCGCAGACTCTCAGTTGATGAGAAAGTCCTAAGGAAGGAAACATAGGGTCAGGGGTGCAAGTGGTTTGATGGGAACCCGGCTCACGGGCAGAGGCCCGCCCTGACTCCCTCAGTAGGGAACGCTTACTTGGTCTCCTCCGTGAGGTTAGAGCTATTGCCAGGATCATGGCTCTGTATGGGTAGAGATAAACCAGGTCACTATTCAGCTTCTGCTTATTATCTCATAGGGACAGGATGGGCCATGCTCATCAATGCCCATCTCCCCAAGTCTCCCCAGCTTGACCTCCCCATGCCAGGTTCCAGGAGCAGCACCTGGACCAAGCTGCCTGAAGAGAAGGTAAAGCCCTTTGCAAGCAGACAGGAGTGCAGCAGACAAAAGGGGAAAGCACAAACCTGAGGCGATGCCATGCTAGTGAGGTCAGCATCAGGGGAAGGGACAACACCAAGAAACATAGTGTCATCAGCAGCTGCTGGCGGTGCAGGAGCAGTATGGTCTGTGGGCGCCTGTCACAGAACAGAGCAGGGGGTTAGAAGACCACGAGGCGCCTCGTTGCCATGGACATGAGGTGATGGGGCAAGCAGGGTAGGACAGCAGCAGTCACGGGACAGTTGCACATGCTGGGAGCTACTGGGGAATAGACATGGCCTGCCCAGGCCTCAGACCACTTAGTAGCATTTTGAAGGGCCAAAGCTCAAAGCAGGGGCTGACCACCCGAGGACCTTGTTCCCTCTGGAGCTCTGACCACCCGAGGACCTTGTTCCCTCTGGAGCTCTGACCACCCGAGGACCTTGTTCCCTCTGGAGCTCTGACCACCCGAGGACCTTGTTCCCTCTGGAGCTCTGACCACCCGAGGACCTTGTTCCCTCTGGAGCTCTGACCACCCGAGGACCTTGTTCCCTCTGGAGCTCTGACCACCCGAGGACCTTGTTCCCTCTGGAGCTCTGACCACCCGAGGACCTTGTTCCCTCTGGAGCTCTGACCTGTGGTAGCCACAGTAGGTAGAAGAAAGTGCCCCAGTTCAGGAGCCAGAGAGCTGGCCTGCACGGACTGTGACCCTGACAGGGGCCCTGTTCCTGGAATGGGCTAGTTGTCATCCACCCCTCTCCTCTTGCTTTCCTGCTTTCCCTTCTCCCAGACCCACACACTGGGTGCTTGTTGATTAAAGCAGAGAGCAATGGCTGCCCTTTGACTTGCAGCATCCTGGAGATCACATGACCTTCCTAGGAACAGTAGCCAAGGAATAATCCTAGGACTCCCTAGTAGTAACTACCTGCTTGACCAGCTGTCACTCCTCAGGCTCAGAACTCATTCTTACTTTTTGGTTTTTTGAGACAGGGTCTCACTATGTAGTTGCAAATGTCCTGGACAACTCTGTAGACCAGGTTGACCTCAAACTCAGAGATCCACCTGCCTCTCCCTCCCAAGAGCTGAGATGAAAGGTGTGTGCCACCATGCCCAGTGGGTCAGGTCTCCTTCTTAGACTATGTCTCTAGCTGGGCATGATGGCACACACCTTTCTTCCCAGAACTTGGGAGGCAGAGACAGGCAGGTCTTCGAGTTTGAGGCCAGCCTGGTTTACAGAGGAAGTTCCAGGACAGTCAGGACTACAAAGAAAAACCCCATCTTGAAGAACAAACAAAACAAAATGTCTCTGGTTTAGAGGTCCCCTAACATCCAACAGGCCAGATAGGCAGAAAATGGGAAGACAAAGGGAGAGGGCCAGGGGACCCAGGGCTGTCCAGCAAGGCTGGTCTGTAAGTGGCCATGCCTTTCTCCAAAGAGAAAACTGCCTGCTTTCTGAGCCTTTTGTCTCAGCCTCTTGAAATGCTGACCAAATTTCCTCTATGGAGCAAGTGAAAAACCTTGGAGTACTAAAGTGAGCCTCCCTCTTTGCAGGTTTACTGCGGCCATGTCCCTGGGGTCCCCGTGACCGTCAGCTTTGAAGCACCCACAGGTGTTGCCTCGACAGCTCTACAGCTGAATCTAATTGGTAAGAGCAGGGACACAGACAGTCAGAGGAGTGGGGCACTAGCAGTGACAGACTCTCCTAGGCTCTGGGTCCCTTGTCACATCTTAGGAACAAACATCTCTAAGACTGGAAACAGTCAGACAGGCAAAAAAATAAAACATTTTCCCAAGCACCTTTTGGTTTTTTCTCTGGCTATAAAGCTCAGGCTGCCCTCAGACTGGAGACGTCCTTTTTGTTTCAGCTTCCTACGAGCAGGGAATACAGGAATAGGACCCCACACACGGCTGCTGTGCTTTTAAACACTCTGTGAGCAACCAAAAGTTATTTGGTTGCTCTTTTTAAGTCTTACACCTTTGCAGAGAGTTTTAAAGTTTTCACTCTCCTTAAAAAGTCCCCTGTCGGGGCTGGAGAGATGGCTCAGTGGTTAAGAGCACTGACTGCTCTTCCAGAGGACCGGGGTTCAATTCCTAGCACCCACATGGCAGCTCACAACTGTCTGTAATTTCAGTTTCAGGGGACCCAACACCCATGACAAAATACCAATGCACATAAAATAAATAAAAATTAAAAAAAAGTCCCATGTCATCAGAAACTACTTTTATCTTTTCATAACTTCTGTTTCATCTCTACTCAGGTGATGCCATGCGCCTTCATTCCTGGAGTAGAAAGACAGTTACAGATTCAAGAATGTTTTCTGAAATACAAGGAAAGTCTTCATTTCCAGAACAGAGAGGCTGGATGCTCAGATTAGTATTTTTTCAATGAGGAAACTGAGGCCTTAGCAAATACCAACTATGTGACTGCCAGTTTCCTCCACCCCATACCCCCCCTGCCAACAGTGTGCCACCTCCAAGCTGAGAAATGGGACACAGCACCTGAGCAAACCACAACAGCTGGCCAGGAGCAGCTCTCATGGCTGAAAACAAGAGTCCAGCCCAGCCCGAGTCTTCACTGTGTTCCACACCCAGCTTTAACAGGGAGTGGCCTTGGCTCAGGCACTCCTCCAGCTGGACAGAAGCCTGTTCCTTTCGTATGGCAGACGTCCTGTGCCACATGTTAACTGTGGGAGAAGTACTCAAGTCAGGTCCAGGAGGCCATCTCCAAGCCCTGCGAACACAGGTCCTGGGCCACCTGGACTCCATGTATCTCTGAAAGGTGGCTGCCTGTGAGCTCACTGCTCCTCTGCTCCCCAGCTCTCCCTGTGGATGAATGGGAACCATCTTTCTTTCTTTTTTTTTTTTTTTTTTTTTTTTTTTTGGCTTTTTGAGACAGGGTTTCTCTGTAGCTTTGGAGGCTGTCCTGGAACTCACTCTGTAGACCAGGCTGGCCTCGAACTCACAGAGATCCGCCTGCCTCTGCCTCCCGAGTGCTGGGATTAAAGGCGTGCGCCACCAATGCCCAGCCGGGAACCATCTTTCATCATCAAAGTAACTGTGAATGACCCCTGCTCCAGCCTCCAGGCCACAGGGAACTACATTAGGCATCCTGGAGGTCACACAGCATCTTGTCCTACTCATCTAGTCTGGTATTTGTGAGACCTGTCTCACCAGGCTGTCTTAGGACTTAACCATGCATGTGTCTCAGTCTCCTGAGTGCTGGGCTTCCGGGCATGCACACTACACCTGGATGCTCATCTACTGCTGTCACTGTTTAACAGAGAGCTTTTCCTATCAAGGGCCCACTGACTTCTCAAAGACACAGAGGGCAGTCTCCTGGCCATTCATCTGTTGTTCATTCTCTTTCTCTCTCTTCTCTCTTCTCTCTCTCTCTCTCTCTCTCTCTCTCTCTCTCTCTCTCTCTCTCTGTCTCTCTCTCTCTCTCTGTCTCTCTCTCTGTCTCTCTCTCTCTCTCTCTCTCTGTCTCTCTCTCTCTCTCTCCCTTTCTTTCATTCTTTTTGTTTGTTTGTTTATTTTTCCCCTGAGACAGGGTCTCTCTGTGTGCCCTGGCTGTCCTGGAACTCACTCTGTAGGCCAGGCTGGCCTTGAACTCACAGAGATCCACCTGCCTCTGCCTCCTAAGTGCTGGAATTAAAGGTATGCACCACCACTGTCCAGTTAGTTACTTAGAAAAGCTCTTAATCCCAGAAACTATAATGCAAACTCACTTTCTCATAGTCTTACATTCCTAAGATTCAAACCAAAATGAATTCACAAAAAAGGAGCACATACTTTCATGGTCTAGTCTTTTGGGGACAGATGTCAAGAGGGCAAGCCTTAAAGGTGTTGTGTTCCCATCTGTCCCAGACAACAGTACCATGCTAGGCATTCAGAAGCCCAAGTCACACCTCATCTGAAAGTTATTTCCCCAATTAGCTTTAACTTTCAAGGTAGATCTCAACTGCTCCACGACGAGAAATGACATGGGGCAAGAAAGACAAATCCCAACCAAGCAAGCAGTTGAAGAAGCAGACATAGGGGCTGAGGGTTAACTGAGGCGACATAAAATAAGCCAGTGCAGAGGGTCCCCCAAAGCATGGAGGCCTCTGGGACATGCATGCCTGGGAGAGCAAGCCAGGGGGAGTCTCGACACTGCCTCACCTTCCTCTTGTCTAATGGAAGGAGTGAGACCCCATTGGAACGGTTAAGGTCGGACACCAGCACCTTCAGAATGTCCTGAATCTACAGCAGGCGAGAAGGAAAAACAAGGGCGGGGCAGGGGAGAGAGGCAAGAAAGTCAGGCCGGGGAGAAGAGAAACGGTCAGGGAGATGGAATACTCAAAGAGCAGAGATCAGCACTCAGGCCAGCACATCCTTCCAACAGTCACCTGCTCAGAGCTGCCCTCCCAAGGGATGCAGTCAGTTCTCTTGACCAATGCAGCCACTCAACACATACCCACAACTGCAAAGGGCAATCTGAAAGGCCCCAGAACAATGTACACCTTCAACACCAGACTCTCAAGTAAGACTTCACTCTCATACTGCTACAGTCCAGCTAAAAAGCAAGTCTGTAAGACACTAAGCCAGTCAGGCAGTGGTGGCGCACGCCTTTAATCCCAGCACTGGAAGGCAGAGGCAGGCGGATCTCTGTGAGTTTGAGGCCAGCTTGGTCTTCAAAGAGAGTTCTAGGACAGGCTCCAAAGCCACAGAGAAACCCTGTCCTGGGGGAAAAAAAAAGACACTACGCCAGTCCACGATCATCTTGTCAGATAAACTGTGTCTGAGAAAGAGACTTTCCTAAGGTAAACCAGCAAGCTCATGACAAAGATGAACTTAAAACTTAGATCTTTTCTTACTGTTGTTTCCTTTAAGGAAAGCCTGAGAACAAATGATGTTCCCTCTGGCCTGGTTTCTACCCACAAACCAAGAAAATCAAGCAGTACTATTGTTAAATAACTGTTAACTCCACAGCAGGCCCTCTACTAGGGAAATTAGCACAAAAACAACTGCAATAAACTTCATGTAAACTTTATAAATACACATTAAACAATATTACCACTATTTTTATAGATATGTAAAAAGTGGCTCAAAAAGTTTAAACATCTTGCCCTAAATCTTATCATATTTCTAGCAGATGGAGAGATAGGATTCAGACCCAGACTGTATTTTCTTTTTCTGTGCTGAGATAAAACCCAGGGTCTCTTGCCAGGCAAGACCTAATTTATTACCACTGCACTAGGCTCCCAGCCCTCAAAGCCAGAATTTTTAAGCAGCACTGGCATTTCCATCGGAACCACAGCCCTCTCCAGCCCATCCCCAGGGATCTGCCAGCCAGACTCACGTCCTCTGGTGACTGACAATCATTGGCGGTGGTTTTCTCAGGGCTACTGCCATTTTTAATCTTTTTCTTCTTCTTTGCTCCTGCAGGAACACCAGGGCTGTTCTTCTGCTGATATTCTCTCAACTGTGGAAAGGAGAACAGGAACACTCACGACAGTCATTTGCCACATACTCACAGCCTCCACTCCAGCTTCCCAATCTATTGAGGGGCTCGTTTGTTTGTGTGGTTGGTTTTTGGTTTTTAGAGACAGGGTTTCTCTGTGGCTTTGGAGGCTGTCCTGGAACTAGCTCTTGTAGACCAGGCTGGTCTCGAACTCAAAGACATCTGCCTGCCTCTGCCTCCCGAGTGCTGGGATTAAAGGCGTGTGCCACCACCACCCAGCTATTGATGGGTTTTGTTGATGTTTCTGTATGCACTATTGGTTTGAGACAGGGTCTCGTTAGAGATGGATGACTCTGAACTTCTGCTCTTCCTGCCTGAACCTCTAAAAGTTTTTAAGATTACAGGCATGTACCACCACACCTTGTTTATGCATACGGTGCTGGAAACCCAGCCTAGGGCTTTGTGCAGTGAAGCAAGTATTCTACTAATTGAGCTTCAGGCCCAGTTCCCTCCCATGCAATTTTTATAAAAATACTCTTAAATACATAAGTCTCATGTAATGGTACCACAACTCTACAAGATACTGTAATGACTTTTTTTGAGACAGGGTTTCTCTTTGTAGCTTTTGAGTCTGTCCTGGAACTCTCTCTGCAGACCAGGTTGGTCTAGAACTCAAGAGAGATCCGCCTGCCTCTGCCTCCCAAGTGCTGAGATCAAAGGCGTGTGCCATCACTGCTTGCTGTAATGACCTTTTAATGGCTGAAAAAATGACACGGCACAAAAGGCAGTAACTGGGTTGGGAATGTAGCTCAATGGAAACTACTTGCCAAGCATTCAAGGCCCTGGGTATCATCCCCAGCAACACATACACATATAGGCAAACACAGAATTTAAACTCAATCTTCTGATTCCCAGTGCTGGGGTTTAGAGCTCCCAAGGGAAAAAGCTAGAGGTAGAGATCAGAAAGTAAACATTTAGTAGGCAGGAACTAGCTGTCACCCTGCTGTGATCCCAACTCTTGGAAGAGAGAAGCAAGAGGAATGGCAGTCAACCTCAGCTATAAGCAAAACCCAGCCTCAGAATAAGGAAACAAGCAAACAAATGAACTAGTAGACAAGACAATGAATATTGGATCTTAAACCACCATCTCTTTTCAACAAATTTGATCTTGCTGGACATGGTGGTACATACCCTTAATCCTAGCACTCAAAGCAGAGGCAGATGGAGTTCTGTGATGAGTAGAGCCAGCTTGGTCTACATGGCAGGGAATAAAATCCAAAAGTTTCGTCTTTAAAATATGAGTGTACAACTGTGACTCTGTGTGTGTGTGTGTGAGAGAGAGAGAGAGAGAGAGAGAGAGAGAGAGAGAGAGAGAGAGAGAGAGAGAGAGATGCACACATACGTCTGTGTACTGTTAAGGGTACACAGGTGTGTCATGGTACACACAAGAATGTCAAGAAGACAGCTTCAGGGTTGCCTCTTCTCTTCCACTTTGAGATAGGTCTCTTGTCACCACACTTTGAGACAGTCTCTTGTCACCACACAAGCAGACTAGATGGTCCTTGCGTTTCTAGGAATTCTGTCTCTACATTTCATCTACCAGAACACCTGGGCTTAGATTCATGCTACCATGCCTGGTTTTATGTGGGTTCAGGGAATTCAAACTCAGGTCATTCTACTTGTGTGGCAAGCATTTTACCCAATGAGCCCTCTCATTGTCAAAAGCCAAACTACTGTCAATACAACCTCAAGTCAAGGTTTCTTTCTTCTCTTCTTTTTTTGTTTTTTGTTTTCTTGTGGCAATGCTGGGGACTGAACCTGGAGCAATATGCATGAGAGACCAGTATTCTACTACCGAGCCATATACAGTTTCCATTAAAAAAAAAAAAAAGATCGCTGGGTGTAGTAGCCCCTATCTTTCATCCCAGCACCAGGCAGGTGTGGATCTCTCTAGTTTGAGGTCAACCTGGTCTACACAGCGAGTTCCAGTACAGGACTACAAAGACCCTTCTCTAAAACAACAAAAAACTTTTTTTTTTTTTTTTTGGTTTTTACGAGACAGGGTTTCTCTGTATTGTTTTGGAGGCTATCGGTCCAGCCCAGCCTCGAACTCACAGAGATCCGCCTGCCTCTGCCTCCCGAGTGCTGGGATTAAAGGCGTGCGCCACCACCGCCTGGCCAACAAAAAACTTCTTAAAATTATTTTTTTGTCTACCTGTATGTCTGTCCATCATACACATGCAATAACCTAGGTGGCCAGAAGAGGGTGTCATGCAGAGCCTCTGGAGACATGTGAGTGACTGAGAGCTAAATCCAGGGCCTCTCCAAGAGCAACAAGGCTTTGGCTGCTGAGCCATCTCTCCAGCACAATTCCCCTCTTTTGCTGCTGCTGCTGTTGTTTTTACTTTTGTTTTTTGGTAAAGTTGGACTAGTACACAAACCATGTTGGCTGCAAACCCATACAAAGACAAAAGTAATCTTTTAAGTTCCAATCCTTTTGCCTCTACACCCACAGACTTGGGAATATAAGCATGCATTGTTCTGCCCAGTTAATGCCGTGTTGGGATCCAACCAGAGCCTCATACGTGTTCGGCAAGCACTCTTGCCAACTAAGCTGAGTGCACACTAGACAAACACCCTAACGACTCAGCTACATGCCTAACCCCACTGGGACCCTTTTCCAGTACGTATTAAAGGCACACAGCACTACTTCCTAAACTTTTACAACATAAGGGAAGAAGTCATGAAGGCAAGCCTTAGTGAACATAAGCACAACCTAAACATCGTTTCGGAGTCTTTACATTCTTGCAAATCTATGAAAACGCCACGCCTGACTTTTACGTTCGTGTCTCAAAAGAATCATGGGAAAGTGATGCTTCAGAGAGATGCCTCATGTTTATCCTGTGGTTCTCATCAACCCACTCTGAGAAGATCATTTGGCTGAATTTTAAGCTGTTCAGTTTCCCAAGACACGACCCACACTATACACGCATTTTGCTCCAGAGATATTTCAGTCTCTCTAGCGAGTGGAAAACTGAAAAGAACCCAACCCAACCCAACCCCGTTCTTCCATGTCAGCCGGGGACCCTGGCAGTGTTGTGTGCTGACATTAGTGGCTAAGTTAAGGGAGTGTGGGCGCCTACATCGTCTCCGCGCTCGAGCTCCCTTCCTGGAGGAAAGAGGTGTTCCACCAGGGAAACGGGGAGAGGGGGGACAACACCAGGGTGCGCAGGTGGGACGATCCAAGACCGGACTCCGGCTAGTAATGACAGTTTCGAGGGGGGACTGTGACGTAATTACATTCCACTCCACACCACCAACGCCCGAGTCGCCGCTCTGCGGCGGGGAGCGAGAGGACAGGGCCAGGACCGAGGTCCTGGGGAACAGGAGCCCAGGGGCGTTCGGAGTTGAGGACCCAGAACCCTTAAGTCACGGGACAAAGTCACCCAGGGGCGACTGGGAGGACGGAGGGCAGGGTTGCTGAGGGGGCGGGGCTGGCTGAGAAGACTTTACTGGGGGAGCCCAGGGAGCTGAGGGGTTCCTCCGTGTGCCCTCGGGAAAGGCTCGGACTCCGGTCACGGTCCGGCCGTCGAAGGAGCTCGGGTGGGGTCGAGGGGCCGCGACCCGGAGCGCTTTACCTTTTTTCTTGGCCGCAGCCAATTTGCTCTGCCTGGTTTCTTCCGACATCCCGGGGTGGGGAGGGGGGAAGCGGGGGGGCCACATCACCACAATCCCGGCAGCCACCGCGCAACTGCTTCCGGCAACCGCAGCGCCTGTGTGAGCGGCAGAGGAGGCGGGTGCAGGGCGCCACCAGGCCTCTGGGAAGCCTAGCGTGGGCGACCCTGTCCAAGCCCATTGGTTGATGAGAACGATGAGGGTCGGAGAGGCGGGGTCACGCTGCTGCCCGGCGGGAGCTACGGGCGGAGGTAACGACGAAGGCTGCGCGCGCAGCCGCGACCCCCTGGCGCCCGCCTATCAGAGGGAGGGGCGGGGCCGCCCTAGCTTGGTGCGCGCGCAGCTTGACGTCAGTCGGTTGGTGGTCTCCATTGCTGGTTTCTGGCTGCCCGAGGCATCCGTCTAAACTCCAACCCTGGACCCTTCTGAGTTCAAGACGACCCCGATCCGGGTACCTCGGACCTCAGGGTTCAGGAGGTGGGCGAGGAGCGCGCACTTCATTTCACAGCCCTTTCCCGATTCCTCACGCCTCATCCCAGACTTCCTCTCCCCAAGCCCCCTCACAGCCCGCTCTCCGCACAGTTCCCTCCCCACCACGCAAACCCCCGGCCTCAGAGCCCTTGCCCCATCCCGATCGCTCGGGGCAATGCCCTAGCGGCGGGATCGCGGTCCCGCCTCCTTCCCCACGGCGGCTCCCGCGCCCCCAAGGTGGCCCCACCTCAACAGCCCTTCCCTCCGGTTCCTCCCCAGGACTGAGTTAGGATTCGGCCGAAGTTGCCATGGAGCCTTCCGATCACCGGTGAGTAGGTCAGCCCTACCCCGCCCTCTGCAGCCCAGCACCTGCCCACCCGCCCCCTCCCCGCTCCCCGAGCCTCCAGGCGCTCCGCTCTTCTGAGGGATGAGTCCGTTCCTGACCCCACCCCTTCCCGTCCCCTCCACTCCTACCTGTTCTATGTCTCCAGCCGCCTCCTGCTCACCCAGTCCCGCCTACAGGGTCCCAGTCAAGGAATCCTCCCTTTATGCTGGTCACTTCCTAAACTGCCAGCACTACTATCTCCTTCTGGCCACTCCTAAAACTCAACGCCCTTTGTTTTTCATCCCCAAAGATGGATTTTTCGAGCACTCTTTTCAAGTAGTAGTTTTCTTTTGTTCTTTATGCCCCCTCCCTTTTTTTTTTGAGACAGTTGTTAATCCCAAAGATGGAAGGAGAAAGACCACCGACCCAAATCTTCGTGACCAAACTAATTAAAGCAAACGATTGATTAAAGCAAGCCCTTTAATTTGTGTACACGGGCTGCCTCCCCCTAAGTCGGGGTTACAGAGGTCAGCCTCGGGTGTGAGGAAGACAACTCGGGCAGGGGGTCTCCAAAAGGGGCATCTGGGGGCAAAATAGCTGGGGTTATGGGAGCGGAGCATACGCATGACAAATTAGTCCTAACGACCTCCTGAAACAGACATGGTTGCAAGGTGGGCATAGCAAGGCAGTCACAACAATAGGTGGGCATAACAGATAGTCTTACAGGTGTTCATAAACCCTTTTGAAACAAAGGTGAGATTGCAAACTGGTTATAAACAACTTTTTGAAACAAGGACATGATTGCCATTCCTGAAGCAAGGAGTACAGAATAATTCATAGTTAAAAGTTATAGGTGGGGCATAGCCCAATCCTTGCAAAACAGGTTTAATTATAAATAGGAAGGAACCTAGTTTGTCTTTACTATAAGATGGCTTTTAAGCCTAGGATGGAGGCAGACTGGTTCTTCACAGTCTCGTGTGTCCCAAGAAGGTCCCAAACCCTCTCTGTACTAAAGGATGCTTTGCAGGGGCTCATTATGTAGGCCAGGCTGGCGAAATACTCTTCTGCCTCCTGCCTTAGCAACTCCCAAATGCTAGGGAGTCAGGATAAAATGCCAGGGGAAATTATGGAGACATAGGGAGAGAAAAAAGCACTTTAAGCAGGATGGTGGTGATGAACACCTTCTATCCCAGCACTGGGAAAGCAGAAGCAGGTGAATCTCTGTGATTTCAAGGCCAGGGTTAAACAGAGAAACCCTATCAAAGAGAGAGAGAGAGAGAAATCCTGATTTTAGAATCAAAGATTCTAGCACAATTAACATTTGCTGTGAATTTTGCCGCCTTAAAGGCAATATTTCTTTTTTAAACTTTTTTTTTGTGTGTGTGTGTGTGTGTGTATGATAGGGTCTTTATGTACTTCTGGCTACAAACCAGGCTGGACTTGAACTCATAGATATCTGCCTGCGCCAGCCTCCCAATACTGAGATTAAAGACCTGTGCCACCACACCTGGCCTTTTTTTTTTTTTAATAATTTAAAATTACATTTAAAAATGTGTTTAGTGTCTGTTGGATGTTGCAGAGTACACATGGAGGTCAAAAAGAACAAATTTCGAGAGTTGGTTCACACTGTGAGTCCAGGGCTCCAACTCAGGTCATCAGACCTGTCAGCAAGCACATTTACCAGCTAACCATTTCGCTGGCCCCCAATATTCCTTTTAGGGAGAAATATTTTTGAATAGGAATGATAAGGTACCAATAAGCCAGACTTAAGGCCAGACCTTGGATGGGCCTCACCCCTCACCTGGAGGTTTCCAGGTGTCTCCTAAGATTGACTTTGTTTGCAGTAAAGGTGATGATAGCCTCCTTTATTGCATCCTTGTAATCTAAGGGTCTAATTATCCACTGTAAACCTGTCAGGCAGGTGTCACTAACCATGAGACCGCTTATGATCACTTTAAAATGCTTTAGCAGGAGTGGTGGCACTTGCTTTTTTTGGGGGGGGGAGGTTTACAAGACAGGATTTCTCTGTATTGTTTTAGAGGCTGTCGGTCCAGCCAGGCCTCGAACTTACAGAGATCTGCCTGCTCACCGGGCGTTGGTGGTGCATGCCTTTAATCCCAGCACTCAGGAGGCGGAGACAGGTGGATCTCTATGAGTTCGAGACCAATGTGGTCTACAGAGTGAGTTCCAGGACAGGCTCCAAAAAAAAAAAAAAAAATACAGAGAAACCCTGTCTCGAAAGAAAAAAAAAATGCCAAGTGCTCTTGGGAGGCTGCGGCAGTTTGAAACCAGCCTGGTCTGCATAGTGAGAGCCAAGATAGCTAGGGCTATGTAGTAAGACGCTGTCTAAAAAATAAGAACTACAAACTCAAGTCTTTTGGAAGCCTACACCCTCATTTGAATTTGTCTCATTCTTTCCTGGGATGCCTTTAACTCCTTAAATCTGTTCAGAATATGTTTTAATAAACCCACCTTGCCCCTCATATGGGCTTGCCCTGATACTCTTGTTGACAAAAGCAGGACTCAGCTTTGCCTGGTGGGGAAAACTCCCCAGGCTAATACTTTATTAGAGCTATTGGCCAAGCTGACACCCAATTACCCTTTGAAGTTTAGCTTCTTCCAGAAGCTTTACCCCCTACTTCTTGCTCTGCTAATTCTAGATGCTGCCTTAGCACATTGTTCTTCAAAGTTTTGTTTTTAGACCTGTAATTAGTTGATGGGTTGTTGGATCTTTCTGACAACCAGTGATGAGTATTGTCTGCTACGTACCGACTGCTGCTGTAGGCGCTGTGTGGCCTTCAGTGGGCACACACACACACACAGTGCTTGTCCCCTTTGAGTTTACCAAGATAACAGTGGTGTGAACATAAAAATGTGCGACACGTCAGGGGATGAGAAATGAAGTCAAGCATCAGTAGACATTGGGAAGGTAGCCCTGTGTGAAAAGCGCACGCCATGAAAAGCGCCACACAAACTCACCTTGTGAAACGGGAGGCAGACGCACAAACATGACGTGGGACTTGAGGGCTAGCTGTCAGGCTGAATCAGTGAGCTGCTCTGGTTCAGAGAGACCCTGTCTCAGAAAATGAGATGGAGAGCAAGTGGAGAAGAAACTAGACATGGAGAAATAGATAGTGCAGAGGACCAGAGTTCATTGTCCAGCACTCACAGCTTTTAGTCCCAGCTCTTGGGAGACAGAGGCAGGCAGATCTCTGTGAGTTTCAGGCTGGCCTGGTCTACAGAGCTACACAGAGAAACCCTGTCTTGAAAAATAAAGCTAGCCAGGTGGTGGTGGGGCATGCCTTTAATCCCAGCTCTCAGTGAGTTACAGGTCAGCCTAGTCTATAAAACTAGTTCCAGGACAGCTAGGGCTACACAGAGAAACCCTGTCTCATAAAACCAAATAAATAAGTAAATATTTAGTAATGTAAAAAAGTTTTTAAATTTATGTTCATGAGTGTTACATTGTGTGTGTGCCATGTGCATGCCTGGTGCCTAGAGGTCTGAGGGTCTGACCCCTGGCACTGCAGTTAGGACAGTTGTGAACCCTTCATGGATACCAGGAACCAAACCCAGGTCCTCTGCAAGAGCAGCAAATGCTGCTAACCATCATTCCAGCCCTGTAAAAGAATTATAAAATTACATGGTGGCACATGCCTTCAGTCCATGCACTCTGCAGGCAAGAGGCAGGTGTATCTTTGAATTGAAGGCCAGTCTGGCCTAAGTACTGAGTTACAGGCCTGCCAGAGCTGCATGGTGAGTGAGACCTTGCCCCTCCCCTGTTTTTGTAAAATTAAAAAGTAAATAAAATTACATTTCTTTTATTTGGAGCAGAAGGCACTATGACTGGTTCTCAATCTGTGGGTTGCAACCCTTTTGGGGTTTGAAAGACCTTTTCACGGGGTCACATATTATCAGGTACTTAAACGTTATGATTCGTAACCGTAGTAGAATTACAGTTATGAAGTAGCAATGAAATAACTTTATGGTTGGGGGATGTCCCAACATGAGAAACTATATTAAAGGGTCCACTGCACTATGGTATACAAGTGGAGGTCAGAGGAGAACTTGGAGTCATTTCTTTAATTCCACCATGTGGGCTCCAGGGGTAGGACTCATGTTTGTTAGGTTTGACAGCAAACATCTTTACCTGCTGAACCATCTCAGTGGTCCTGTTGAAACATTCTTTGAATGTAGTGTGTGTGTGTGTGTGTGTGTGTGTGTGTGTGTGTGTGTGTGTGTGTGTGTGTGTGTGTTTCTGTCTGTCTGTATGTCAGAGGACAATTTTGAGGAGTCGGTTCTACCAGGGTTCTGGGAGTCAAACTCAAGGTTATCAGGATTATAAAGCAGGTATCTAACCAGCTAAGCCACCTTGTAGGTTCTTCTCCTTGGTACGTTTTGGCTTATATGTTCTCTGAATAAAGAGGCCTGGATGGATGTCTTTTTCCTGGGCTCCTGCCAGTGCTGGCAGACAGTGCTCACTCAATAATTGGGGAGTGACTAATCACAAGCCAGAGACTATGAACAGGAACCACAGCTTCCTCTGTTTCCTGACTAGGCAGTTCATCCAGCGTACACTTCCTGAAGATAGCTGAGCACTAGATGCCAGCCTTTACAGCAGGGGCTCTCAACCTTCCTAATGTGTGGTGATCCCAACCAGTAACGTTAAATGTTTTGCTACTTTATAACTAATTTTGTTACTATATGAATCATAATGTAATATCTGACAAGCAGGATATGTGTCCCCTGTGGGGGGTTGTGACCCTTAGGTTGAGAACCACTCACTGCCTTACAGGCTCAGAGACAGAAAGAGCAAAGATGAAGTGTAGCCTTAGGGAAAGATCTTGTTGTCCAATGAGATTATAAATGCAGTGCCCTTACAGAGCTGGGCTCAGACTGCAGGCCAAGGTGACCAGTTACTTAGGATTGGGTTTAGTTGAGGAGAAAACACTAAATAACCAACATCATGGACTCCATCCTCCATCTTGTTTCATCCAAGATTGACTCCAGCACTGCGTCAACATTGCAGGCAGAGAAAGGCCCAGGGTTGGGCATGTTCTCTCCCTGGAGAGACATTCCTCAGGCATTGCATATGTCATTTCTGATGACATTTCTACTTGTCATAACAGTCTTGGGCCACAGCTAATTCCATTGAAAGCTGAGAAATAAGTGGAATTTTAAGATCAGGGTCCTATTACCAGTCATAAGTAGGGAGTTATCTCTTGAGAGGTACCGCATAGGCTCTGATCTATGGATAATTGGTCAGTCCAGCCGATGATGTTTTTTTCAGTGTTCATCTCCCAAGTTGGAAGAGGATGATGATGTCAGTGAGGAATCTTTGAACTCTGACATTCAGAAACTGAAGGAGAAACGGGACATGTTGGACAAGGAGATTTCCCAGTTAGTAAAAGAGTAAGTCTTGTCTTTGTTATTTTGTTTTCTGAGCCCCTCTTGTACCCCAGGCTGGCCTTCAACTTGCTATATAGCTGGTAACGTTGCACTGATTCTCCTGTCTCCTCTTAGTGTGTGATTATAGGTATGGGCAACAACCTAGTTTTCTGAACAAGTCTTGTTGTCTCCCCAGTGTTGTATGGAGTGCTAACCTCACATCCATAAAGCCCTGGGTTCCATCCCTATTGCAGGAAAACAAAGGGCAAGGGATGGAGCTCTATGGCAGAGGCCTCACCTGTTGTACATAAGGCTTGGGTTTGGTCCCGAGTCACACACAGACATTCTTAACTGTTGATTAGTGCCTAGTAACAAACCCAGTATACTAGCGTAGCATAGAAAAGATTCTGCCGTGGGACTCTGAGTATCTTTGCAGCTGTTGTCTGAAGTCAGGTTAGGACAAGCCTAGAGCCAGGGTCTAGAGAGCTGGTGGAAGTGATGCTATTCTGGTCTCTCCCTGGGACACTCTATTCTAGGCACTGACTGCCATGGGCCCTTACATGGAGTTAAAGCACCTCGGAGAAACTGACTTTTCCACAAGTCCTGGGCTTCCTTGTGCTCCTCACTCCAGCCTCAGAGCAGAGGCTGAGATACACTGGAATGTATATTTCACATGAAGGAATCCGCCTGGTGACCTTTTATGCGCTTACCTATGGCCAGGGTCACATAGTAACCATGTGTCTGGATGCTAGGAAGGAGGGGATGAGTAGATCCCCTGCCATTATAAGCTACAGGACAATAGGGTCCATCCTGTCATCACTGTCCCCAAGGGTTAGCAGCAGTAGGACTATGGTGAATATTTGTTAAATAGATGCTGAACAAATGCTTCACTACCACCTGATGAAGGGATCTCGTCAGCTTGCTTAATGGTGCTCGTTCTCCGTTGCTCTTCCTCAGAGGCTACCGTGTGGGTGAGCTGGAGGACCATATCTCCCTCCTCCATGAGTACAATGACATCAAGGATGTGGCGCAGATGCTGCTGGGAAAGCTGGGTGAGTTGAAAGGGGTGGGAAGGTGGCTCCTCCCCTCCCAGGGGTGTTGGATTTCCCCCTTGGTTCCCTAATTTGCCACCCATGCCACTCTTGCCAGCTACTCTGCTCCTGGAATACTGCAACCCGCTTCTCACCAGCCACTGCTCCCCCTGGGTACCTGCAAAGCAGGTTTGCAGCTCTTGCTTTAGTGCCAGAATCTCAAGCACAGGGCCTACTTAGGAGCAAGTTTGAACAGTGCTATGATTAAAGCTCAAGGGGACTGGACTACCAAGCGAGTTCCAGGACAGCCTCCAAAGCCACAGAGAAACCCTGTCTCGAAAAACCAAAAAAAAAAAACAAAAAAGCTCAAGGGGAACCTTGGTGGATTCCAAGGCAGGTTCGGGTGACCGAGGTGGAGGGACAAACATGCCAGGCAGACAGAGCTTAAGTGAGAAGTTTTATTAGAAAGGGGAGGGGAGGCGGAGAGGAAGGAAATAGAAAAGAGGTAAAGAGACAGAGGACAGAAGAGAAGAGGGAGACAGGAAAACTCCTGTCTGCCCCAGGAGAACAGCGAGAAGAGAGAAAGCAGGAAAGAGAGTGTAAGTGGGTGGAGGCCTTTTTTTTAAAGGGGTCCTTTGCACCTGGGCTGACTAGGGTACTGCCTGAGTGCATTCTGCCAGGTGACAGAGGCAGGCCAGCATAATGCCTGAATCCTTACAAACAGGACTTACCTTCCTTTGAGACTGGACTAAGGTCCCTAATCTTCATGGCCTGCTGAGATATTGAGATACCATGGATACCTCTGATGACTGACTGGCGCACGCCTTTAATCCCAACACTCGGGAGGCAGAGGCAGGCGGATCTCTGTGAGTTCGAGGCCAGCCTAGTCTACAGAGCGAGTTCCAGGACAGCCTCCAAAGCAATACAGAGAAACCCTGTCTCGAAAAACCAAAAAAAAAAAAAAAAAAAAAAAAAAAAAGAAGAGCAAGGACCAGGGCAGCTCTTTATGATATACAGTAGGATTTAGTTCCTCCTCTAAATCTTATCATCCAGAATCTTAAACCAAGACAGATACTGGATTTACAAGCAGTCTGCCATAGAAGTCAGGCTAGTTTGGGATAAGATACTGTATAAATAGCCTTATCTACACTCAATAGCCCTTTCCCCTGGCCCAGAGTAGTGCAATTCTGCAGCCAGTGGAGAGGAATAGTGTATCATTAAAAATGGCTCCTCTGGAGGGAGAAGAAAATAGGGAAACAAAAGTGTCCAAAAGGACAGTGATCAGAGCTTTAAAAAAATGGTATAGCCGGGCGGTGGTGGCACACGCCTTTAATCCCAGCACTCGGGAGGCAGAGGCAGGTGGATCTCTGTGAGTTCGAGGCCGGGCTGGACTGATAGCCTCTGAAACAATACAGAGAAACCCTGTCTCGTAAAAACCAAAAAAAAAAAAAAAAAAAATGGTATAGCCAAGTATGGCAGTGCATGCCTGAAATCCCAGTACTCTGGAGGCTGAGGCAGGCAGATCATAAGTTCAAGACCAGCCTGGATTCCATAGTGAGACCTGGTCAAAACAACAGCAAAAATAAAAGTGTTCTTGTTGGAACTCAGATGGAGACCTGTCAATCTGTGTACCTGGAGCCAGTGTCCTCGCTCTCCTGTCTTGTCAGTGAATGTTTACTGAGCATCACTGTGTACCGGGTGCTCTAAGATGCTGGGATGGCAGCAAAACACATGCCTTGGGTTTTAGTGTTCAGAGTATGCACAGTGGCCAGTCTATAGATGAACAGAAATGCTGGTGTGCTAAGTTCTGTGAAGGAAACGTGGACATGGACACTGAGGTCTACAGGAGGAGCAGCAGGAGAAGCAGGGTCACACAGCTGCTCCCTGAAAGGCTGGCTGCAGGCCATGCTGAAACTGTTGGTTGCTGTTGGGTGGCCAGGCCAACCCCGCAGGGGCAAGGCTTGGAAGGAGAAGCAGGAAGATTACCTTTGCCATTTGGGTGAGGTGTGAATCTGGGCCCCAGAGGTAGTGTTCTGGATGACTAGGACAGCAGCCTTAGTTTGGGTTTGACCTTCTCCACGGTTATTAATTCTTCTTTCCTTTCTTTCAGCTCTGACCCGAGGTGTCACCACCAAGGAGTTATATCCAGATTTTGGTCTAGAACTGAGTGACTGAGCAGAGTCTTGCAGATTTTTATCTACAGCCCACAGGGACAAGTGGATGGGGAACATGGAAAGCAGGGAGCCCAGACAGTACATTCGTATGGTTTTCAGATAAAAGTGCTAGAAGCCCAAACTTTTTAAAGGGCCCAAACTAAGTTTAGGGTGGGTCCTAGAGAGGGGTGGGCATTGTCAGTTCTAAGGTTCCTAAACGTGCTTGTGAATGGATATGTGGGGTTGTCCCTTGTGTTAATAAACATGAGCAGTCTCTGTATGGTTCTGATCCCTTCCCCCTGCTAACCCCAGTCATGTCTGCCATAGATCACAACAGCTCACTCTTGCTGAATCTCAGCTGTTTCCTCTGCACCCATGAGTATTTTTATTGCTGTCCTATTGACCTTGTAGAGCAGGTGATGTGTCCAGGGTCACACAATAGCAAGTGTGGCAGGGATTTGAGACCAGGATTGTGCTTGGTGATGGGATTGAGAAGGAACAGGTTAGAGTGAGAAGTGAGAAATGACAGTATCTATTTATCCAGGTGTGGTGGCGTACAACTTTAATCCCAGCACTCGGGAGGCAGAGGCAGGCGGATCTCTTGAGTTTGAGGCCAGCCTGATCTACTGAGAAAGTTCCAGGACAGCCAGAGCTACTTAGTGAGACCCAGTTTCAAAACAAACAAACAGCCGGGCATTGGTGGCGCACGCCTTGAATCCCAGCACGTGGGAGGCAGAGGCAGGCAGATCTCTGTGAGTTTGAGGCCAGCCTGGTCTACAGAGATAGTTCCAGGACAGCCTCCAAAGCAATACAGAAAAACCCTGTCTTGGAAAACCAAAAAATAAAAAACAAAAATCAAACAAACAGAGAAATGACAACGTTGTTATAAATTTGACCATCATGGTATGTGTAAAATTTGTGAGGCTGGAGAGATAGCTAATGATGGGCTGTGTTTGATTCTCAGAACCCTCACCTCCCACATTGTGCACATGTATACATTCATACTGTCTCAATAATTCTGTTTTGTTTGCGTTTTTCAAGACAAGGTTTCTCTGTGTACCCCTGGCTGTGTTTTGTGTGCCACCAGCACCTCCTGACTTATGCCTCAATTCTAAAGGGGAAAAAGTTAAAATTAATGTTTGTTCAACTTTCACAGAAGGATCTCTCCCTTGCAAGTTGATGTTCAGAATGAGAATTCCAGTCCCCATTTGTAACTCTGACCGGTGAGGGTGAAATACTGCTGTCCTTGCATGTCATTGCATGCAGACAATGCGCCTGCTGTTTAGAGCACATGTATTCATTCCCAGCACTCCAATGGTGGCTCACAGCTTCAGTCCCAGCACACCCAGTGCCCTCTTCTGGCCTCTGGAGCAGCTAAGCCAGCGCTTCTACTAACTGATTGAAAACAGGGCTTGCACTTCAGACTTGTCACAAGTTCTGACTTCTCCAACTGCCCATCCCTGCTGGGGGCTGCTTACCATAGGGCCTGAGGGGGATGTCAGAGCCTGGGGACTGCTGAAACTCCAGTTAAGGGAGTGTAATCTCTAAAACCCAGCCTTAACTGCACACCGTTAGTCCCAGCACTGTGGAGGCAGAGGCACAGGGCAAGCAGATGGATCCCAAGGCTACATAGAAAAACCTTAGAGGTCTTAGGGTTTCTGTTGCTGTGAAGAGACACCATGACCACGGCAACTCTTATAAAGGAAAACATTTAATTGGGTAACTTACAGTTTCAGAGGTTTAGTCCATTAGCATCATGTTGTGGCATGGCAGCTCATAAGTGGACATAGTGCTGGAGAGGGAGCTGACCCAAAGGCAATAGGAAGTAGTCTGTCTCACTGGGTGTAGCTTGAGCACTGGAGTCCTCAAAGCCCATCCCTGCAGTGACACTTCCTTTTGCAAGGCCACAACTACCCCAACAAAGCCACACCTAATAGTACCACTTCCCCTGAGTTTCTGAGGGCCATTTACATTTAAATAGCTCAGTAGGGTAAGGGAGGAGGCTTGAGTTTCAGCCTCATGGGCACCTGGCTTGACCTCCTCAATGGAAAAATATAGTATCTGCACTGGGGTTTTTACTGCCTGCCCAAGCAACATCCACATAGCACCATAGCTAAACATGGCAAAAGTATGATTATAGATCCAGCTGTTCATGTCCGTAACCTCAGCACTTGGGAAACAGTTGTGGAAGGATAATACTATAAATTCCAAGCTAGCCTGGGCCATGTAGGCTACAGTTTAAGACCCTATCTCAAAAAGACAATGAACAAATGTCTGGAAAACTGGTTCAGCTGTTAAGAAAAACCTGAGTTGTGAGTGGTAGCAGGCCAGCCTGGTCTACAGAGTGAGTTCCAGGACAGTCAGGGCTGCATAGTGAAACTCCTATCTCAAAATAGTCCCTAGCACTATCCAGCAGCTCACAAGCACTCCTGCTCGAACACCCTTTGATGGCCTCTGCAGGCACCCCTTCCCACACTGACAGAAATTATGTATGTGTTGAGTCCTCCGTGTTTGTGAACTCACAGGGGCTCAGAGCCTAAGGGTTCCCTTAGAGCTGGAGCTGGATTTAAAGGCAGCCTCAAGGCTCTGACATAGGTGCAGGGAACTGGATCCCTAACCCTCAACTATCTGTCCAGCACCAAATCTCTTTTTAAATGTCTGTTGTTGGGCATGGTAGTGGCATGCCTTTAATATCAGCACTTGGAAGGCAGGGACTGGCAGATCTCTGAGTTCAAGGCCTGCCTGATCCACATACTAAGTTTCAGACTATAGGGCTATATATAGTGAATCTATATCTGAAGTCACTATTCTGCTATGAATAGACACTCCAAGAGAAAGTATTTTACCGTGAGCTTGCTTGCATACAGTTTCAAGAGATTAGTCCATTATCAAGGCATGGGGAGGGGGAGGGAAGAGGCATGGCAGGCATGGTGCTGGAGATGTAATTGAGAGCAGGCAGAGCAAGAGGCCACACCTCCTAATTCTAATCCTATAAAACAGGTCTACCCCCTGGAGACTAAATATGAGTCTATGGGGGCCATTCTTATATTCAAAACACCACATCCTGGATGAAGAGTTGGTTTAAGATCACTTGCTGTGCAGTCATGATGACCAGAATACTTGCTTTACAAGGATCCCAGCACCCTTGAAACAAGCCCATTGTCCCACACAAAGGTGGTGACACACACCTTTAATCACAGCACTGGGAGTCACAGGAAGGGTGGATCTCTGAGTTCCAGGCCTGCCAGAGCTACATAGTAAGATCCAGTCTCAAAACCTGTTATCACGCAAACTCTGAGTGTGTCTGAAAGTTCTCTTTGGGACATGTGGGCAGCAGAGTCACAAAACAGAAAAGACACAACTTTGAATGACAGACCATTGTCAGCGGTCACATGGCCCAAACTGAGGGGGTTGGGGATGAAGATGAGCAAATGGTGTTCAATAGGGATGAGCAGCTGTCTTATTCCTGAAAACCTAACTTCTGAAGGGAGCCTGGAGGACTTGGTGGGCAGCCAGCCACACTGCTCCTGACCCACGCTTGTGCTCTGGTCCTATTCCTGACACCAGACACACTGCGTCTTTCTACCTTTCCAGGTTCACCATAAGATCCCAAGTCACTTGTCCCAGGCAGCAACCATTCTCATTTCTGGCCTTTCCTAGCCATTCATTCATTCACATAATAATGGGCCAGACAGACAAGAATGTGTGGGAGGGTCTCAGGTCTGGAAACAGCATGTACAAAAGCTCAGTTTGGATACAAGTGACCAGGCATTGTGACGGGCAGTCTGGCCCACTTGATGTGAGATGAGAGGCTCTCCTAAGCCCATTCTAACCAGCTCTGCATTTGCATTAGTCATAAGCACCCAAGAAGGGCCCTGGGAAAAAAATCATCTCCAGGTCCAGTCCAGTGTGAAAATGGCTCTGCCATGTGCTATTGGCAGGCACCAGCCTCTTGGTGGCAGTGTCCACTCAGAGATGTGCCTAAGAGCTAGCTGTGCAGCATGTGGACAGGGACAGGAAGTGAGAGGTGATCATCACAAATCCAAATAGGTTCTAAGCCAAAGGTTTCATCAGACAAGGGCTGACAAGTGCAGTAGCCAACCATTTGCACAACTCTGGCTTTGTGGGTGGGATCTGTGCTCCTCACCTGCAGCTCTTACTGTCCCACACAATGGAGTAAGGTTCAGTAGAATGCCCCACTCCCAAACTCAGCCAGCTGAGGCACAAGATAACAAGACACCAGAGCCGGCTAAGTATCTAGAGTACTGGTTCCCAAGGCTAGACCAGCTTCTCTTGAAGAAATGATGCTTAATACCTATAATCCCAATACCCAGGAAAGTCTAAGGATGGTGGATTGCTAAACTTAGGTCCAGCCTTGGCTACATAGAGAAACATGTCAGGGGAGGTATCCTTTGAGGTTCATAGGTACTCCAGGCTGGCTTGGGACTCCTCTTCCTGCCTTTGCCTCTAAAATCCTAGAATTGTGGGTATGCACCAACATGCAGTTTAGGGAGGATCTAGAAGCTGGGTTTTGTCTTTAACACCATAAAACAGTAATATGCTGCTGGCAGTGGTGGCACACACTTTTAATCCCAGCACTCGGGAGGCAGAGGCAGGTGGATCTCAGTTCAAGGCCAGCCTGAGCAAGTTCCAGGACAGCCAGGGCTACACAGGGAAACCCTGTCTCGGAAAAAAAACAGTACATACACATATATATATATATGTATATATATGCTTTTGAAATTTGGGTATCCACTGTTTAGGAAGTCTGACTTTGCAGGCCCAGAGCTCTGCCTTTTGTAAGTTTTTAAAGATTTGTGTGGGGGAGGGGTTGCTCTGTGAGTGCAGTGTCCTCAGAAGTCAGAGAGGACATTGGGGCCCTTGGATCTGGAGTTAAAGAGCGTTGTGAGCCACCTGACCTAACATGGGCACTGGAATTGAACTCGGGTCCTTTGGAAGGGCTACAAGTGCTCTTAACCACTGAATGGTCTCTCAAACCAGCCTTTCATATTTTGTTTGTTTTGTTTCGAGACAGGGTTTCTTTCTCTGTGTAGCACTGGCATTCCTGGAGTTCCCTTTGCAGATGAGGCTAGCATTAAACGCCAAGACCCTCTTGCCTCTGTCTCCAGCATGCACCACCACCCAGCTTTAATTTAAATTTAAATTTTGACTTTTTGAGTCCAACCTGGCTTCAAGTTCACTATATAGCTGAGGATGACCTTGAACTCCTATTTTTTTTTCTGCTTTCATTTCCCAAGTGATGAGAATTTTTGAAA